GGTGTGTGACGTCGTTGGAGTGAGGGGCAAGGTGGGAAAAAGTGAAACCGTGGGTTTGGGTTTTGGAGGAGGCTGGTGGGGTTATTTATTAAGGTGAAATTACTTAATTGGATTTGTGAGACTTTGACTTGCATTTATGGCGCGTGCGAGGGACTTCCTTGGATCACCATACCAAATAAAAAAACACTTGGAAGTGTCTTGAATTGAACATTTACCAAACCAAAAAGATGAAATCAAACAAGGGAATTAGTGGTAAGGAGAAGAATTTGATAGTGTTGAAAGCTTTTAAAGCAAACCTAAACCCAAAAGGAGTTTGGAAGGTCACTTGAAATTTCGCAAGGGACAATACTTTCAATACAAATTTATAAATAAACCCAATCCTAGACATGTATTTATAAAAAAACCCAAGCACTATTTAAACATAGAAACACACCCAAAATCAACCCTAAAGTCAACTTTTTGGGTGTGTTTATAAAGTGTTTTGGGTGTTGGGTGTTTTTATAATTTCAACCTTCATTTTGGGTGTTTTAGTGAAACTCCCTACTTTCAAACCATGATTAAAAATCTAGCTACTTTTTCCTATTTACCACACTATTCATTTTACATATCTATTTGTTATTACATGACAAAAGAAATGTTCCTAGATTCTTAATAAAGTAAAAATTGGAATCGGTCAATGTTTAGAGTGTAATTAATATTTACTTTTAACACTTTTGATACGTCTGGACAAGTATTTTGGGAGTCGTTTGGTATGTTGAGACTTAATTTATTAAATTGGACAACAATCAGACATATATAGTGTCTTACAAGTCTCACTTAGAAGGGCGAGATTCAATTCCAATCTAATCCAAATCAGACCATCAAATAAAATTCTGTAATATATCAATAAATTATATCACATGACAGTACTACAATACCGCACTATAATTACTTGTCACATTGTTCTTTTAAGTGAGAATGAGAGAGGAGTATTTGCATGAATGAAATATTGACCAAATTGAAACTTCCCATTTTCAATTATGGCTTGGTTTTCGCTTTTGAAACAAGAAAAGCAAAGCAAAACAAAGGTAAATGCCGTTGTCATGAGGCAATGCGAGGAGTCGACAACAAAGACGAAAAAATCTGAATTTCTTCTTTCAAAGGCAAATGGAGGACAAAGGGCGGTGTTACCGTTACGTTTACGCGCAACGTACTCACGCGCGTGGGACCTGCCCATCTCTCTCTTTCTCTACTACACAACACACACTGACGTTAGGACGTATAGTTGAGTGCGTTTAGGTCGCGAGACGCGGACCCCACCCAGTTCGGGAGCGCGACTGTGAAAGATCTCAGACCCCACATACGACAATATTCTCTCTTTCTCTTCTACCCTCAAAGTTTGACGAAACAACAAGAATACCACTCCCTCAGTAGCCCCGCCCATTCCCGCCATAATGGCAATAAACGTAATAATGGTGATAATAGAGGGTGAATGGTAATAAAGTTTTAATATTTGTAACTTGGCAATGCAGGTATTTTCAGCCAATGGATTCACAAGCACGGATTTCACAAATCTGCTGTTTGTTTATTGTTTGTTGTTTACATCTCCCTCTCTCTCTCTCTCTCTCTCTCTCACCAAACCCCTTTTTAAAAACCCATCACCTTCTCCTCATTTCCCCCACATCTTTTTCTCTCTGGTTCTTTTTTCTCTCTGGGCACAAATTGCAACTGGGTCTTCTCAGTCTTAAATAAAAACACAAAAGATCAAAGCTTTAGACATGGACTCAATCTCCAGCAGCGCAAGAAGGCCTTGTTTCATCGAGGAAGATGATGGGTTGGCCTCACTGGCAGACATGGAGGCTGGGTTTTCTGGGAGCCACCACCCATTTTATTCAAGGCCTATGTGTTATGCAAGGAGGAGCGGCAGCTTCAGAAACCTCTCTGGCATGGCTTCGTTTTCTTCCTCTTCTTCCTTGTCCCCGAGATCTGGGCGGTTCTGTGATGCCAGATTTGAAGAAACCCACCAGCCCCATTTCTTGGAAGCTTGTTTTCTCTGCAAGAAGCCACTTGGTGATAACAGAGACATCTTCATGTACAGGTTAGCCACATAAAACCCAATGAAGTTTAATAAATTCATTTCTAATCTGAATCTGGTTGAGTGTTTTCAGAAAGAAAAAAGTGTAGAATTATAGGGATTTTAATTATTTTCTCAGATGCCAAACAAGAATTAGCAGTTGGGGAGGAAACCCATTGGTTTAATTTTTAATTTGAGTTTTTGTAATTCTAGGTATTTAGATTTGAAAATAAAAAAATCTGGATTTGTTTTCTATATTAAAGGCTTGGATTCTGATGGGTATATTGTGATTGGTTTAAATTTGCAGAGGTGACACTCCATTCTGTAGTGAAGAGTGCAGAGATGAGCAGATAGACATAGATGAGAAGGAGAAGAACTGGAACCTCTCTTCTTCCATGAAAGCCTTGAGAAAAAGAGAGCAAAGGAAATCAAACAACACAGCCAGCAACACCAACCAAGACTACCCTTTCCATCCAGGCACAGTTGCAGCCGCTTAAAAAATAAATCAAAGAAGCTGATTTGTGTCCAAGAGAGTTGAAGGCCAAGGAGAGAAGAAGTGAAGAGGCAGAGCAAGACCCCCTTTTTTATTTTTTGAGGGATTGTGAATGTTTTATACATATGAAGAAAAGTGTGTGTCTTTGTGTGCTCTTAGCTCTATGAGATGGCTCTTATTTTGGGTATTTCTTTTCTTTTTTTCTCGGTTTTTTTAGAAATTTTTGGTTCCATATATAAATATATAAATATTTTTCGTTCCCCTAATGTAATGCAAGCAAAAAGCTTCAGCTTTACAATGGTGAAGATATGGAAAAAGAAAAAGTTGTAAGATTTTCTCTCTCGTTCTTGGTTGTTCTTTGGCCTTTCCCTTATGTTGGGTTCATGTTATTGGAATTTAGATTCGTGTGTTTTGGAATCTACTATAGCAATGGAAACAGGGGGTCGCTTTTTGAAAAGATCTTTGTAACTTTGCTTACCATCAAAGTTATACAGTAGTTTTTCTGTTTCTTTGCTGCACAAGTTACACAGTGGTTTGTAGCTTTTACCAACACTTTTCTTTTTGTGGTGGAGGTAGATTAGGGGTTGGTTGTTATAAGATTCACTACATCAATAGCTTAATAGATCCACCTTCATGCCTTGCAAGGTATATCTCTCTAATAAGATATAAGAGATGCTTGCAGCAAGGGAAATCTATTTCATGGTAGATACTAGACTTGTGTTGTCAAAGTTGATGCTTATGTTGTATGATGGTGATTCTGAACCATATTTTTAAGTGTAAGTTTACCAGATTAATTCTTTGAAATTACAATCTTACAACGTTTTAATTCACTGTCTGACAACATAGCGTTCGCATTTATAATCTCTCTCTTCAATTCATGGTCTGATCTGCATTTATAATATCTTCAATTCGTTGTCTGGCGACATTAGCAAACGAGTTTAGTTTGACAAGTGGGGTTTCATGAGATTCATTATTCACTTTCAAGATTTGATAGGATTTTGGTATGATATGGACATCAACGATGCACAGTTATGATGGAGCGTCATGCAATTGAGTTGGGTAGTGGGGAACAAAGAAATTCCAAACCATCCTTGGGAAAAGGAACACTTCTACTGGCCAACTTAGAGAGTTGGACCAAATTCGATCGGCAGATTATTAGGTGATCATAGGACTTTCAGTTCAAATAATTTGGCCCAACAAACCATATGTTATATGGGAAGATGTAGCAGCCAGCGGTTCTACCAATACTAGGGGCAAATACTAGTTAGCAAAGCAACAATGGGCACATGCAACAACCTTGGAACTCAACCTTTTAAGTAAACTAATGTTGGAGGTGAAAACCATGATCACAAAGAGACAAACACTAACCAGACAATGTCATGTCGTTAATAAGTTAGGAGGAGCTCAATGGTTTGTAACAAATCATAATTTCTCTCTAGTGACTTATTTCCTAAACTCTTCATTAACTTCACCATTAAAAACTCCTTGAAGAGACGCATCTTATTGTTTTCAGTAGCGATTTTGGCTCTCATAATTTAATTTTTAGCCCTCGAAATTGAGGATTTTATAATTTTTATAGTTTCGCAATGAGTGTCATAAGCTAAATCCGTTATTGTTATGATACCGTGGCTCATTTTCTATAAGGAGGTACTCTTATTTTTCGTGAATCACAGTTTGACATGTATGCCAAAATAATTTATCAAAAACACAAAAAAAAAAAAAAAAAATCTTCACACATATCACATTGTTATTAATAGAAATGTTACATGGTAAGAATGAAAGTATTTTCCTTCTTTAGAAAAGTATTTTCCTTTTTTAGGAGTAACTATCAATTTTTCTTCCTTGAAAGATTTGAGCTCCCATGGTAATCCCAACCCGTTTGCGAAACTAGGGGCTTCGGAAGAGAACTTGGAGGTGGCTGAGTTTTATTATTGTCGATTTGTGGATTAAGGTTGTTTTTGTTGTTTTTTCCTTCCTTTGTTTGTATCGGCCCAAACAAATCCCAATGTTCACTTCACATCATCAATTTGCCCTTCTTGCCAAGATTTGCCATTCCCAGTAGTTCGATCTCTGTCATTGAATGCATAACAAACAAATTGAATATATAAAGCAGTGGGCTAGAGATGCATGTGGGCACCAATGTGCGGTCCATATATATGATTCCTATAGTTTGCATTCATATTGTAAGCAAAGCTTGAAAAATTGGACTTGAAGTTGAGGAAACAGTCAAATAGGCAAGGATTAAAAGATACTAGTCATAAACATGTGAGAATTCAAAAGTTGATAAACTAGGACAAGAGGATTTAAGACCACAGATTTTTACGGTTCCAAAAATAAGCTCAAAAGGGATCTAAGCCATTAGGTGGCTGGACTAATTCCTTCATACATAACCTCTTTCCTCACAACCATAGCCTCCTTGTTGCACCATTGACAACAAATCTGCATGTGAAAATTCATCTGATTGTTCAACATTTCTGATTCTTGCACTCTCATTTTGCATACTGATCAACAAAATGGAGGCTACTCACAAATTCGTGTGCCAAGACGATTTGGTCAACCCACTTTCCTCCATGGGAATGCAAGTAGCTTGCATCCTTGTCATCTCACACTTCTTTCACATTTTGCTCAAGGCCTTAGGTCAACCAGGCCCCATTGCCCAGATTCTTGTAAGCATCTCATTTTGATTAAAACAAAATAAATTTGTCAATATGAATCATTCGAACCTGTCATATAAATTGATTGTCTCGTAAAATAACATGTCAAGTTATATATCTTGTTTGTATATGAGGTTGGTTTTGTCAATCTAGGTCATCGGTCAAGTAAAATATTATTGTTCGAAGGGTGATTCTGATTTTCAGTTTGGTAACATAACATGTCAAATTGACAGGCTGGTATGGTGTTGGGTCCCTCAGGGTTGTCTAATATTACCGAAATAAAAGAATTCTTCTTCCAAGCTTCTGCTGCAGAATACTATGAGATGTTCGGGTTCTTCTGCCGGATTCTCTTTATGTTCCTCTTCGGTTTGGAGATGGACTTTGCCTATGTACGCCGCAACCTGCGCGTAGTGTGCATCGTAGCCTACGGTGGTGCCTTCGCAGCCAGCCTTTTCGGCCTTACCGCCTCCTTCTTTATCTACAAACACTTACTGGCTGAGAATGCCAAGCTGAATGCTAGCTTCGTCTTCTGCACCATGCTATTTGTCTCCTACACCTCCTCACCAGTCGTCAATCGCTTAGCAGCAGAGTTAAGGTTTGCAACATCAGACATTGGCCGCTTGGCAACATCTTCTGCCATGGTCATTGAGCTCACTTGCTTGCTTGTTTTCAATCTGATCATTGCCTTCACAAGACTAACTGCCTTGAGGGACGGCTTCTTCATCCTCCTCGGCTTGGTTCCGATACTTTTTGCGTTCAAGTACTTGGCAGTGTGGTTGAACAAACGAAACAGAAAGCAGAAGTACCTTAGAAACCCAGAAGTGCTTCTCATTTTGTCGATTCTAATCGTGGGTTCGATGCTCATTGAAATGGCCATGTTTAATAGTGTGATAGCTTGTTTTGTTGCTGGCCTGGCTTTCCCCAAGGAAGGCAAGACGGCAAGAACTTTGTTGCACAAGCTTACTTACTCTGTCCACAACTTTGTGCTGCCTGTTTACTTTGGCTATATTGGGTTCCAATTTGATGCGAGCCATTTGAAGAGCTTGACCAACATATTGATTATTGTCATACTTGTGTTGTTGAGCCTTGGCAGCAAGATTAGTGGCACTCTTGCGGTTTGCCACTTTTTGAAGATCCCTTTAAACGAAGGGGTTTTTCTTGGCTTTGTGTTGAACTTGAAGGGACATGCCGATCTCTTGTTCGTTGGCAGCGCCTCAAAGGCTCTAATTGTAAGGTTCTTAACTTTGATTATATATTTGACACTCTTGACTTGCACCTTCCAACTAAAAAAAAAGACGAGTAACATTAAATGTATCACATCTTTGTGCGAGAAAAATCTTTGACTGAAGCTATATGTACCACATTCATCGGCCACATTTTAGATGACATCTCCTACTACCTTCATTAGAATTGTGGTATAAATAGTTTCATTTGACAGATTCGACTCCTTCAAATGAGATTAACAATATGATCAACATACATCTTATACATTGACGTTTTTTTTTTTTTTTGGTGTGGTTAAAACTATAGATCCTAGCTCTAAATTAATTTAAGTTTCTTTTTCTTCTTATGCTCTGGTATTGTTTCAGACTTGGAACCCAGCGGCTTACAATCTGTTACTAATGACAATTGTGATTAACACTGTAATATCAGGGCCAGTTGTGGCTTTGTTAATGAGAAGAGAAGAAAAACTCTTCACTCACACACACACCTCCCTCGGCTTTGAGCCCGAAAATCCCGACCAAAACGAGCTCCGCCTCCTAGCCTGCGTCTACGGTCCCCGCCACATCTCTGCCATCCTCTCCGTCATCGCCACCATCCGCGGCACCCAAACAGCATCCATCATGCCCTACATGGCTCACCTTATCGAGCTCAACCAAAAACGACGCACCAACGTGTCGTATCACGAGCTCGAAGCCGAGGAAATGAGCGACGAGGAAGACTACGGCGGCAACGACGTCCTCGAAATCCATGCAGCCGTCGACGCCTTCACTGCCGAGACCCAGATCCTCATCAACCTCAACAAGGCCGTGTCCACGTTGTCGAATTTACATGAGGAGGTGTGTAACGCAGCCGAGGACTTGCGTGCGACGATTATTTTGCTGCCATTTCACAAGCACCAAAGGATCGACGGCAAAATGGAGTCCGGGAAGGACGCTATACGGACCACGAATCAAAAGATTCTTCGTCACGCCCCGAGCTCTGTCGGGATGATCGTCGAGAAAGGGCTGGCCGGGGCGTTAGGGTTTTCGCAGTTGTTTACCGTGGACATTATGCAACATGTTGCGACGCTATTTTTCGGGGGGCCCGATGACCGCGAGGCCATTGCTTGGAGTACAAGGATCGCAAACCATCCAAGGGTTAACTTGACGGTGGTTAGGTTTTTGCCGACGGAGTCATCCAACACTCGGAATATGAAGGTGGAGAATGAAATGGGAGGCAATAGTGATATTGAGGTTTACATGGCCTTGTCGAGTTTAGAAACGGGCAATGACATTGACAATGCCTTTCTCAATGACTTCTATAACGGGTACGTACCACCTCTATATTTATCTTGCTTTAAGTGGTAATGTTTGGCACCTTGTTTTTGTTTTATACTCGTATAATTTCTGAATTTGTAAAAATTGTTCATACACATACATAACTTTCACATTGTCAATAAGATATTTTATAAGGAATATATGCATTTAGAAATAGTTGTTTTTCAGAACAAATAATACAATCTGTGACACCATTGGGAGACATGATGAGATGGTTAAATACACTATGAATGAATATAGCACAATGATCACGAATAACTGCAAATGATAGCTACTACACATTGATAGTGCTTTTAGTGACCTCATCATATGGTGCAAATGTTAATGAATAACTATTAATCAAGTTTTCTAAGAGGTTTCAAAATAAGCATATGCATATTTTCAATAAAACATTTGTGTCTTAATTGGTTGGGTAGGTATGTAGCGTCTGGTAAAGTTGGGTACGTAGAGAAGCAGGTGAATAATGGAGCAGAAACAGTGGCAGCCCTAAGAGACATTGGAGACTTGTACTCTCTGTTTATAGTAGGGAAGGGTGGCCGAGGACACTCACCATTGACAACCGAGCTCAGTGATTGGGAGGAGTGCCCTGAACTTGGAACAGTAGGAGATCTCTTGGCTTCTTCAGACTTCAACATCAATGGCTCAATCTTGGTCGTCCAACAACATAGAAATTCCAAGAAAGAACTTGTAGATGATTAGCTATATATTGTGAATTTATAATTATTTCATAATGTAATTTATGTTGAATTATAAGTGCTCAAGCTGATTTCATAAATTAGATATGTTTAGTTTTCTTATAGTTTGTCTTATTGTTAAACCAAATGTCATAGTTTGATTGGTTAGTTTGTGAATGGCTGAGATTGCATTGTGATGTAATGCATCCAGCTGTCATTGTGCCTAATGGTTATATTCTCACACCAAGTGTGTGTGTGTGTACTATACTGATTTCTTACAAAACAGAAATGAGAATGTTATCTCTGCTACAAGTATAGCAGAGGAGATTTGGATTTCAGTTTTTCTTCTCTCCGTATTTTGTTCTTTACCAATACACATACAGATTCACAAAACACTAACATGGCCTCAGAGCCAGGTTCGATTATCTGAAGCTGGGCGTTCGTTCCGTGAAGAAAATCGATCGAGGTGAAGCTCATTCATAGCTCACGAAGCTGATTGAGCTCGATCAATTGTTGATCTGAAAACAACTTGTTTCCAGGTGCATCTGAAATCGAAATGGCTGGATCTGGAAGCTCAGAGGCTAGAATCCCCATTTTCTCTGGTGAGAACTATGACTTTTGGAGGATTAATATGGTAACCATATTCAAATCATATGGTTTATGGAGTTTGGTAGAGAAGGGGTTTTCAATTCCGGAATCAAAGAAGAAGAAGGAATCTGAGGATACTTCGGAAGAAGAAGTTGATGAGAAAACAACTGCGATTCTCATGAAGGATGCGAAAGCATTGGGTATCATCCAAAATGCCGTTTCTGATCAGATTTTTCCACATATTGCAAATGTAGATTCTGCGAAGATGGCTTGGGAATTGCTATATGCTGAATATCGTGGTGGAGAGCATGTTAGATCGGTAAAACTTCAAAAATATAAGACGTGAATTTGAGTATACTAGGATGCGTGATAATGAATCATTATCTGACTATCTTACTAGACTGACTGAATTGATTAACCAAATGAAAACATTTGGTGAAGTTCTGTCAAATGAGAGGCAGATTCAGAAGGTTTTAATTAGTCTTAGTAAGAAGTATGACCCTATATGCCTTGTGATTGAAAACACAAAAGCACTAGAAACTGTGGAGTTGCAGGAAGTGATTGCCATTTTGAAGAGTCAAGAGCAAAGGCTTGAAATGCATAATGTTGATACACCTAAAAAAGCATTTGCCTCGTTCACTGTGAGTTCCAAAGGTCATAATAAAAATGGATCTCAGTCTGGTTCATCCAAGTCACATGGAAATTGGAATTCTAAAGGAAAGCCATGGGAATCAAAAGGCAAGTCATAGTAGAGCAATTATCCTGCACAGAATGTCAATTCCACAAACCAGGAGAATGCTAAACCTCAATGCAAGGTGTGTTCAAAGCATTATTTTGGTGAGTGCAGGTACAAGGGAAAACCAAAATGCTATAATTGTGACAGATTTGGACATTTTGCTGGGGACTGTACTGTGAGTAAGAATGTGCAGAAGGCAAATTATGTAAACCAAATGGATGTGACAGGGAATATGTTTTATGCCAATTGCACAACCACTGAGATCAAAGCCAATGAAGAATGGTATGTTGATAGTGGTTGTAGCAATCATATGACAGGAGATTTAAAACTGCTGGTTGATATGAGAACTAATGTGACTGGGAAGGTACAAATGCCGACTGGTGCACTTGTAAATGTAGCTGGCATTGGTTCACTGATGATTGACACAGAAAATGGCAGGAAATACATCAGAGAAGTAATGTATCTGCCAGGGTTGAAGGAAAATCTACTCAGTGTTGGGCAGATAGATCAACATGGATACTGTCTGGTGTTTGAAAAAGGAATGTGCAGGGTGTTTGATAGTCCATCTATGAATTATCTAATCATCAAAGTACCAATGAAAAGTAACAGATGTTATCCGGTATCCTTTCTTGCTGACAACCATCTGCTCATGAAAACTAGTTTCACTCAATGCACATGGATGTGGCATAAGAGACTAGGTCACTTGCACTTTAAAGGTCTGAAACAGTTAAGAGAGAAAGGCATGGTGCATGGCTTACCACAATTGGAAGAACAAAGTGGTATGTGTGAAGGGTGCCAATTGGGAAAACAACACAGAGTTGTGTTTCCAAAGGAACAAGCTCAAAGAGCAAGCAAGGCACTTGAATTAGTGCATATAGATCTGTGTGGCCCTATGAGAAATGAAGCTGTTGCAAGGAACATATATTTCATGCTGATTATAGATGATTTCACAAGAATGATTTGGGTATACTTCTTAAGAAACAAATCAGAAGCTTTCAGCTGTTTCAAGAAGTTCAAATCCATGACTGAATTACAAACTGGACACAAGGTGAAATGCATAAGAAGTGACAAGAGTGGAGAGTTTTTATCTACTGAATTTGTGGAGTTTTGTGAAGCTCAAGGCATCCAAAGGCAACTCACAATGGCATATACTCCTCAATAAAATAGAGTGGTAGAGAGGAAGAATATGACTGTTATTGAAATGGCCAAATCAATGTTGCATGAGAAGGGAATACCCTATTTCCTATGGGCTGAAGCAATGCATACAACTGTTTACTGAACAGGTGTCCTACCAAAGCCCTCAGCAACATCACTCCATTTGAAGCATATAGTGGAAGGAAACCTGGAATTGCACATCTTAAAATATTTGGTTCTTTGTGTTATGTTCATGTGCCAGATGAATTGAGACACAAGCTGGAACCTAAGAGTACAAAAGGAGTGTTTGTGGAATATGCCACTTGTGAAAAAGGCTATAGAGTTTTTGATCCAGTTTCTAACAAGCTTATATTGTCAAGGGATGGGACATTTGATGAAGAAGGTGCTTGGCATTGGACAGACAACAATGATTTAGTTATGACATCATACACAATTGAAAATCAAATAGATTTTTATTTTCATTCTGACAGTTCAAATGGCAACTCTACTGTTACACCTCAAACTCTGAATATGCAGGGGAGAACCTCATCAACTCCAAGTGATATAAGCAGTGAAGAAAGGAGAACTCAAGCTTATGATCACACTTCTTTAAAATGGAGAAAGCTAGATGATGTTCTTGCTCTGTGTAACTTGTGCATCATGAAACTAGAAAAATATGCTGATGCTGCTTAGGATGAATCTTGGCTTAAAGCTATGCAAGATGAATTGCAGATGATTGAAAAGAATGGAACATGGGAATTGGTGGATAGACCAACTGAAAAACCAGTGATTGGAGTTAAGTGGGTTTACAAGACTAAACTGAATTTGGATGGCTCTGTGCAAAAGAATAAAGCAAGGTAGTTGCCAAAGGGTATGCTCAGAAGCCTGGACTGGATTATAATGAAACTTATGCACCTGTAGCCAGATTGGACACCATTAGAACACTCATTGCTCTTGCTGCTCAAAAGGATTGGAAACTGTACCTGCTTGATGTGAAATCTGCCTTCCTTAATGGTGTGCTACAAGAGGAAGTATATATCAATCAACCTGAAGGTTTTGTAATTAAAGGCAAAGAGGACAAAGTTTATCGTCTACATAAAGCTCTCTATGGTTTGAAGCAAGTATCAAGGGCTTGGTATGGAGAGATAGACAACTATTTCACTCAATGTGGTTTTAAGAAAAGCCTAAGTGAAGCAACTTTATACACCAAAGAAAGGGGAGATAAGGATATCCTAATTGTCTCTATTTATGTAGATGACATTGTCTACACAGGGAGCAATAAGGAATTACTAGATGAGTTTAAGGAAGATATGATGACCAAATATGAGATGAAAGATTTAGGTCTCTTGCATCACTTTATTGGCATGAGGGTGATTCAAACCAATTCTAGTATATTCCTTCATCAAAAGAAGTATGCTAGTACTCTATTGACCAAATTTGGATTGACTGAATGCAAATCTGTGTCAACATCCCTTGTAGCAACTGAGAAACCAGCTAAGGATGATGGAAGTGGAGCTGCGAATGAAGAGCAATACAAGAGCATTGTAGGTAGTCTCTTATACCTAACTGCTACTAGACCAGATATCATGTATGCTTCAAGTTTGCTTGCTAGATTCATGCATTGCCCCACAAATAGACACTATGGAACAGCTAAAAGAGGCTTGAGATATATCAAAGGAACTCTAGACTATGGTTTAGAATATGTGAAAGGCAAGAGAACAATCCTAATTGGCTACTGTGACAGTGATTGGGGAGGTTCAGTTAGTGATTGCAAGAGCACATCAGGATATGCTTTTACTTTTGGAAGTGGAGTGTTTTCTTAGGCTTCAGTCAAACAGAATTGTGTAGCATTGTCTACTGCAGAAGCTGAGTACATCAGTGCAGCTGAAGCTACTGCACAAGCTATTTGGTTACGTTTTGTGCTAGAGGACTTTGGAGAGCTACAAATTGAAGCTACTTCATTGCATTGTGACAATATCTCAGCAATTGCAATCACTAAAAACCCTGTGTTCCACCAGAAGACTAAGCACATTGATAGAAGATACCATTTTATCAAGGATGCTTTGCAAGAAGGAGTTATTGATCTGGAATACTGTCCTACCAATGAACAACTAGCTGACATTTTCACCAAACCATTGACTAAAGATCGGTTCAATTATCTCAGAGGCATGCTTGGAGTGAAATCAGCTCAAGACTTAAAGGGGAGTGTTGAATTATAAGTGCTCAAGCTGATTTCATAAATTAGATACGTTTAGTTTTCTTATAGTTTGTCTTATTGTTAAACCAAATGTCATAGTTTGATTGGTTAGTTTGTGAATGGCTGAGATTGCATTGTGATGTAATGCATCCAGCTGTCATTGTGCCTAACGGTTATATTCTCACACCAAGTGTGTGTGTGTGTACTGTACTGATTTCTTACAGAACAGAAATGAGAATGTTCTCTCTGCTACAAGTATAGCAGAGGAGATTTGGATTTCAGTTTTTCTTTTCTCCGTATTTTGTTCTTTACCAATACACATACAGATTCACAAAACACTAACAATTTAGTGCTTCTTTCAATATTGTACACACTCAAATATATAATAGGGTTTTCGACTTTGGCTGGATCATCCTAGTTTCTGTCTTATCATTTATACATATACAAGAAAAGGCCTCATTAGACGTCTTGGTTTCATCTTTAAAAGGTTAGCCCCAAGAAGCCGTATCATAGAACCCGAATCGGAATCCATTTCGAAATGTGTTTCAGAAAATTGCGTGATGGTGGATGAACATGAAGCTTCTAAGAATGCAGTTCACATGCCCAATGAATGTGACCTGAACTTATAACCACATCATGATCTAGGCAGAAGGCCTTAAAAGTGAAACATTCAAAATCCTCAAAATTGCTATTGATTAATAAAAATACTAAAACATTGGACGCTTTATTAAATAGGGACTAAATAAAACATTCACAATGTATTTAAATTAAAAGAAAAAAAAAACATGTACTGCAGTTGTCTATAAAAGTAGGAGATAACTACCTTCAAAACTTACCATTTGAATATTAAATTTTTTTTATTTATAAAACTCAGTAAAAAAAAAAAAAATGCAACTAGCGCACACGTGAGAGTGTACCAAGAGGGGCGCCAACGGGGTCTAGCCTAGTGGAAAAGGTCCTTAACTTGAAGACTAATGGTCTCAAGTTCGAACCCTATACCACCTTGGTAGTGTGTATGAGAAACCCTATTCTTTTGTAATTTAAACTATCACTTGTATTAAAAAAAAAATTTTGAGCTCATTTTAATAAAATATAAATTTATTTTCCATTTTAATCATAATTGATTACCATTAATACTTATGAGTGGTCAAAGAAGACTTGAGTAATCTTGATCTTTGATCAAGCCATGAGTGATATATAACTAGCAATACATCCTTCTACCAGTCTAAGTAAAATAGTGTACAACCTAATACTTGAGTTACACTCTTCTTAGGCCATAATTTCGTTGTATCAGATTCATAAGAGATCAATGACACTTAAAAAGACAATCATGGTGCTTTAGATGGAGTGACTTATTTGAATTATGACAATTTAGAGTTCTCATTTCACATGTATATAAAACTCCAAACACTCTTTATTAATCTTGTTCAATGAATTCAATTTACATTGGCCATCACCATACTAGCCTTAGTGTCTTGCACCCAAAATCAAATAAAGAGCGGAAAGACCAGTGGAACAAATAAGTTAGCTATTAAAAGATCAAAATGCAACTCGTTTACAAATTCAGGGACCACATCAGTCGAAAACCCTATCATATAACTAGAAACTTTTAGGAGATGAGTTTGCGAGTGATGCATTAGTTTTTTCTACCCTCTTCTGTTTTGCCAGCTTTCTACAAATTGGATTAGTGTTTGTAATTTCTCATGTTCTGACAAACAAGAAAAGAAAATCTTCGAATCTTTAACCGAAAGAAAAAGGAGAAAAAGAAAAAGAAAACTTGGGATCATTTATGGCACGTGGCAGTGTGTCCAAAAAAGAGACCTAAAATGGTAATAAAACCAAACCCAATAATCACATTTGGGGCCCGAAACAAAGACCCGTCCCAGAAAACGACGTCACTTCACCTTCGTGTCCACCATACAAACCACCGATACCCAGCTCACCTAATACTCCTTCTGCTGCCAATCTCCAACTCCCAACGAACAGTCCGCGCAAGAAATGGTCTCAATAACCCGCCAGGTAAGATCATAGAACCCGAAATCACACACGTCGAGAGATCATTGGACGGATCATAATTAGGAAATTGATCAGATAAGCAGAGGAACAGAACTCTGAGCGGCATCTTCTAGTCGTGCACGTACGTAGCGTGGTCTGGAAACTTTTATCATTCTGCGAACACCGTCTTTACCTTGTTCGATTTCTCACTCTGAAAATTTAATTTCCACAGTTCTTGAAAGCTCTCGCGGTTTCTGATAAAAATCGCGGAATGAAATAGCGATTTTCGACTACTCTTCTCGAAGATGTTGGAGGATCAGGTGGCGAACCTCTTGCAGAAGTACCTCGGCAACTACGTGAGGGGGCTCAACAAGGAGGCCCTCAAGATCAGCGTGTGGAAAGGTTCGAGTAGCTTCTTTGCTGCTTCGTCTTCTTCTTTTTGATTCTTTCTTCGTTTCTTGTGAAAAGTGTTTTCTGTGAATTGAGTTGTTTTCTGTGGATTGAATTTGAAATGGTCCCAAACGGTGCGTTTTGAGTGATGTAAAAAGGGTTTTGTTTGGGTTTTAGGATAGCTTGGTGCCAATGGCAGGTTTTGAGGGCTTTTAGTGAAGATAACTTGATTTGGATGATTTGAATAGTGACACTCTACTAGCTACTTGGGGTTGTTTCAAATTGAAACACTTATGCAAGTAGCTATGCACATGCTTTAGTCTAACCTTCATTTGATCATGATGATCATTTCTGTGTTTATTTTATCAAATTTAAATGACTAAATGGTTTTCTTTTTGGTTATTATTTTAGTGAAAATCTCTGAAGGGGGACATTAGAAATGTAGGATTTAGATGCCTTTAATGACAAAAAACTTGGCACCAATGCACACATTCACATACATATATACGTGCAGTTTTTAAACTTTTGGCAGCAATGAAACAAACTTCAATACCAAACTCAACCGTCAGAACACCCATTAGTTTTATCAAACATAAGTACCCAGCACTTAAAAACCATACGCAGCAATACAGACTATAGCATACAGAGCAATAACAACCATACTCAGCAATACAAACACCTAAGTAATAGATGCCTTTTGATCCAATAAAATGGATGAAAGCCTTATACCCCTAAAAGTATCTGAAACAGATGCCCACAAAGAGGACCGAAAAATCACCCCATCCCCCAATTCCTACACTCCCGTCCCTCTGAAAGCCTAAAAGATTCGTTTGTTACTTTCAATCCAAATGAACCATAAAACAGCCAAAATCTACAGCTCCATAGGACCTTGGTCCCTTTCGCTCCACCGAAACCCTTGCTCTCAGCAAGTATAACACCCCTCTGAAGCATCCCAAGCCATCTATGCTTCTCTGAACAACTTTTACCTTTGCTTTGAAGCAACGGAACAATGTATCTGAATATGACTGACATGCTCTCCATCACTTATAAATTGTGGTTTCTTTAGTTTATTGTACATTTTAAGTTGTCATTGGCTTTATAAATGCGGTTACTCTAAGGTTAGAGAAATGCTATTGTGCATGTTCAGCAGTATCAAATTCTTATTATAGAGCCTGAGAAGCTAATTATGGTCTTATTACCTAAAATGCGAATCAGGTGATGTCGAGCTAAAAAATATGCAGTTGAAGCCAGAGGCACTCAACGCATTAAAATTGCCGGTGAAGGTTAAGGCAGGATTTCTTGGATCAGTGAAACTTAAGGTGCGGGGCTAACATCATTTTTTTTTATAATTGTGCTGAATTATTTTCTTTTGAATGTTGTTCAGCTTTGTATTGGACGAAATGCTGAGAAATTTGACTTCATTTCCATTTCTTGGAGTAATATTTTTAGTTGTTCCAAAAGTGGTATTTGATGTTTAGTTGATATAGATTATGCATCTTAACTTTGACATGAACATATAATATGATAATTGCAGTTTTCACCTGGTATGTACTTTTTTATTACTAGACATTTTCATTTTCTAATTTACTGGGTATATTTTGTTTATGTGGAATATTGTTATAATATTTGGTTTTGAGAAGTTTTCTTATGATATTTGTTATTAACTGTATTTCTCCAATGAGGTTGTTATTATTTTTGAATGAAGGTTCCATGGAGCAGGCTTGGCCAGGATCCAGTTTTAGTTTCTTTAGATCGCATTTTTCTATTAGCTGAACCCGAAACCCAAGTTGAAGGATTTAGTGAGGATGCTGTGCAGGAAGCTAAGAAGAATCGAGTGCGGGTAAGACATAGTAATCTATGCGGTGGAATTCATGTGTTCTTTGCCACTACATATTTGAGTGATCATATGTGTTTTTTGCCATGTAAATAGGAAATGGAAATGAAGCTGTTGGAGAGGACGCAGCAACTAAAGTCAGAAATGGTAGGGTTTAGCATAATCCAAGTCTGCTTGTATTTTAGAACATGGCTTTACCTTAATTTTAGGCTCCTTTGCTCCAGCATATGGGTTTAAAATCTGATCTTTGGGTGATTATTTTAATGCTTTATTTCTTCTTCTGGAATTCATATCTTCTTTATCTATTATGATATCATTTTACTATTTGTAATTTGTTTCTCTTTGAAGAATACATCATGGTTGGGATCCCTGATCAGCACAATAATTGGAAATTTGAAACTTTCAATTTCAAATATTCACATCAGATATGAGGATCTTGAGAGGTAGAGAAAAACCTGTTTGAGTGTTTTATTCTTTTTAGTTAGTCTGTTTTCAGTCAACTATGTCTTGGGTAGCAATCCTAATTATGTCTTGGGTTTGTGCTTTATGTCTTCTATGGTGTAGCAATCCTGGCCATCCGTTTGCAGCAGGCATAACCTTGGAAAGACTTTCAGCTATGACAGTTGATGAAAATGGAAAGGAAACCTTTGTCACGGGGGGTGCTCTAGACCGTATTCAGAAGGTTCCTTGTTATCATACTATATGAAATTCTAATTTCCACAGCAGTATTCAGATATTTTTTTTGTGCATGTTTAAGATGCTATACTTTCATAAACGGAAAATGAGAGGGTGCATCAAAGGACAAGGTGTCCACTGACCCCCAGCTCCTAACTAACAAAATCTATGGACAACAGAACCAACAAAGAAGATACAACTAAACAACAAATACAGCGAGAACAAACTCTAAGACACTACAGCTATCCAATAAAAAAAATAACAGGAAAAGAGTTGTCCCTATACTCTACAGATACTGTAGCCCAGAAAGATGCCAAAAATTGAACCCTCTAGCATCAAGTATCCTTATATATCTCTCCACCAAACTACCAAAAATAGAAAATATAAATGTATAGACTAATAAGTTCAATAATGGATACTTCCAGGTTGATGTTACGGGAAGTCACTGTTTGATTATTGCATGTCATTTGATTTTTTGAAATTGACTTCGTATATCCCTGAGATTCTTTCAAATACTGATTAAAGCCGTCTATTTAAGAACAATTTTTAGAACAAGTAAGCATTTCTTGTACTTGTGAATAACTTGGCTTCATCGATATATCGATCCCTTCTGTCTTTCTGCTTATGTTATAATCTGTCGTTTTCAGTCCGTTCAACTTGATCGGCTTGCACTTTATCTGGATTCTGATATTTCTCCATGGCATGTTAACAAGCCATGGGAGGATTTGCTTCCATCAGAGTGGGTCCAGGTATATGCCCAATCCTCTTTTAGCAATAGAGGCCATGTACCTGCATGCACATACATGCGTATATTTATATATTACCTTGTTGGCACTTCAGGTTTTTAGATTTGGCACTAAATATGGTAAACCAGCAGATGGATTAATAAAAAAGCACATTTACATACTGGAACCTGTGTCTGGAAATGCCAAGTACTCAAAACTACGGCCAAATGAATTTGCTGACAGTGGCCAGCCTTTACACAAAGCAGCAGTTAATTTGGATGATGTGACTCTCTGTTTGCCAAAGGTTCATTTTCATTTTCATTTTCTGTTCCTTCTGATTTTGTGCTGGGAGGTAATGTGATTTGTTTTAAAAGCAATTGAGTACTATTTGTTTGCAGGATGGATACAGGGATGCACTAAAGTTAGCTGATAATTTTGCTGCATTTAATCAGCGCTTGAAGTATGCTCATTATCGTCCACATGTCTCTGTGAAATCTGATCCTAGGTCTTGGTGGAAGTATGCTTATAGAGTCGTTTCTGACCAAATGAAGAAGGCAAGGTCAGGATCAATGAATTTCTTTTAATTCTCCTGCCTTATGAATTGTTGTGTTTCTGATGGACTTCGTGGCCATATTGTTTGGGATTTTCTTATCTTATCTATATATTGTTTTTTCCTGTAAAAAAAGAGGAAAATTCTCCTCCCCGATGAGATTTTATGTTGTGAGCTTTAATCCCAAATAGTGAAATACTTTTTTAACAGTAAAGAAAAGGGCTTCCTATCTTAGTCAGTTAACTTAGTTTAGTTTTATTAATATTAATACATTTTAATTTATGCAAATTTTGTTAACAAATGAGAAAGCAGTGAACTTCGTTTATGCTCTGCAAACTGAATTTAGATACATATTTTTTTATCTTTTCTTAAAGCGTTATCTTTGTGGCAGTGGGAGATTGTCATGGGATCAAGTTCTGAAGTACGCAAGCTTACGTAAAAGATATATCTCGCTATATGTTTCACTGCTTAAATCTGATCCTAGTCGGGCAGTAGTTGATGACAACCAAGACATCGAGGAGCTAGATCATGGACTTGATATTGAACTCATACTACAGTGGAGGTACTCTTTTTTGTTGTAAATGTATTTAGTTTCTGATAGTTATTAATTGTATGAAGGGTTATTCTTTTTATTAGTCCCTGAACTTTAACCCAATTTGCATTTGAGTCCCTCAATTTCCAAAATCGTTCTCGTGGTCCTTCAACTTTAGTTTTGTTTTTCCAATTTCTGAATATTCCTTTCACCCAAAAAATAAAAAATAAAAATCTTCTTCCTATCCTCAGTCAAACTAAAAATTTAAAATTAGTTCTTATTCCTAAAAACTAAAATAAAAATAAAAATATCATAATTAAAAAATGAAAATTTTCACCACTTGCCCCTTCTTTTTCCTCTTCTTTCTTGGCAACCTTGTCCCCAATCCCACCATCCAACCTCCAGCCAAAGTCGAGAGCTTGTGAACCCAGAAACTCAAATCCCCATGAACTCTACCAAACCCAGTTCCCCATTTTCAAAATGCAAGTAAAAAAACCCATTTTCATAAACCCCATTTCACCAAAAAGCAATCACATTTCCTCCAAAACTGCAAATTTTCATTCCAGAAATACCAAAACCAAAGACCTAAAAACACATAAGAAAAACAAGAAACCCAGAAGAGGAATTAGTGTCCGTACAATAATTGGACCCCTTAAGCGAGTAAAGAACAAAGAGGCACAGCAACAAGTGTCTGCAAAATAAAAATGCAGAGCCATGAAAGGAACGTTTCACAGCAAGACGACATCGTACAAGACGACATCGTACAAGACGACATCGTACAAGACGACATCGTACAAGACGACATCGTACAATAAAAATGTATCTCTCTTTTTACACATCTGCACGCAATAAGCAGAGAAAAGCAAACTGAATCTGAAGATCTTCCTCCGCCATTCTTCAAAGGATTCTAAAAGCCCTTTCTTTTTCTACTGGCTCTTAGTCTATTCTCTGCAAAAGACGCGTTGGCTTGTCAGTGACAGTGCCGTGTGCGTAGGATAAGCAGAGGACGACAACAGTGCGTAGGAAAGTTGGGTTTTGGGATGATTTTTGGGTGGAGGGTGGGGCGGTGGGGTGGGTTTTGGGGTTGGAGGGTGGTGGCTGTCGGATGGGTTTGGCGGTTGGAGGGTGGTGGTCATGGGAGAAAGGGGGGGAGAAGAAATTGGTGAGGGAGAGAGAGATTTGAATTTATTTATTTATTTTTTTGTTTATAATATTTTATTCATATTTTAATCAATTTAAAATTAAAAAATTAAAAAAAAAAACCATTTTACCCCTGCATTTAACAGAAAAGTTAACAAATTTGATGGCAGGACCATTTGTCCTAACGAACTGAAGTTGAAGGACCACGGGAACGATTTTTGGAAATTGAGGGACTCAAATGCAAATCGGATCTAAGTTAAGGGACTAATAAAACGAATAACCCATTGTATGAAATTGGCCATTCTCTCTACCTGTTGAAACTGGGGTGTTTCTATGCATTTTTAGCTGCATAGAACATTTATTGTGTAGATAAACCATTCTGGAAATGATTTTTGCCTTGAAGTATTTTGTAGTATTGTGGTCTCATTCATGCAGGATGTTGGCTCACAAGTTTGTGGAGCAGTCATTAGAGTCAGACCTTGACTTGAGGAAACAGAAAGCAAAGAAATCTTGGTGGTCAATGGGATGGTAATAGTTTTACCGTCAAATTTGAAACTAGGTCTCCCGACACCCTTGGTATTTGTTTATTCTGATGTTTGCTTGTTTCCTAATTCTATCTACTGTTCCAGGGGCAGTCAGTCTCAGATAGATGAGAGTGAGCCATTTAGTTTCAGCGAGGAAGACTGGAAGCAGTTAAATAACATCATTGGGTATAAGGAAAGTGATGATAGTCTGTCAGTTGTAATTAATGACAAGGCGGATGCTCTTCAGACTTCCTTGAGCATTTGTATGAAACATAATGCTACTAAGCTTATTGATGAGTCCCAGGAGTGTCTTGCTGAATTATCATGTGAAGGCCTGGATTGCTTTATAAAGCTTTATCCAGAGACAAAAGTTTTCAGCATAAAATTGGGATCATATAAGTTATCAACACCGAATGGTCTCCTTGCTGAGGTAGGCCTTTCTCCTGCTGTGTGTTGTATTTTTTAAAACGTTTTCTCTTCAATATTTATGGATTAATTTCCCTATTTCATCCATAAATAATCTATTTACTTCCCTGCAGAGTGCAAGTGCGCATGATTCTTTAGTTGGTACATTCTGTTTTAAGCCTTTTGACGCAAATGTGGACTGGAGCTTGGTTGCTAAAGCTTCTCCTTGTTACGTGACTGTATGTTTTTGCTACGCCAAAGTTATTACTTCCTCCAAGGTGTACTTGTTTACTGATTTGATCTCTCTGGCAGTATCTAAAGGACGTAATCGGTCAAATTATAAAATTCTTCCGAAGTAATACAGCTGTTAGTCAGACGATAGCATTGGAAACCGCAGCTGCAGTGCAGGTTCTTTGAAATATGCTTAAATAGTTCTTTCAACTGCTTTCCAAGCTTGCTGGTGTTGAACATGTTAACCAAGATGTTTCAATCATTTTGTCTGTTTGTCTTTTTCTTCTAATTTTAAATATTGTTGCTTGGACTTCTGAAATTAATTGGAAACTTCAATTATTTGATTGGTATGTACTTAGGGGCAATATTGGGAGATTTTTTGGGAGCAAAAAGTAGAAAAATTTAGGAACAAAGATTAAATATTCAAAGAAACATGCATCCATTGGATATGTTCTTTACGGAGTTTATATGCTAAGGCACAACACTGAGTTACTTGTGACTTTCCTTCTGTGCCTGTGTCATGATGCAAGATCAGGAAAATGTAGAGAATATTGTCAGGATGCTAAATGAAGTGCATCAGCATGCTGATTTTTCTAAAGATGCCCAAGATGGAATAATTTAGGAAGAATTCAGTGGAAGATGATGATTATATTGTTTTACAACTCTCTTCACAGCATATGCATGATTTTACCATGGCCTGATTAGAGCTGTGGGTGCTTGTTATTCTGTTGCAGCAAGTATGGTGATCAAATTTTCTGTTAATGATGGTATACAAACTGTCTTTTTCAATATATACCAGATGACAATCAATGGAGTCAAGCGCACAGCTCAGGAACAAGTGAACAGAGCATTGAAAGACCATTCCAGGTTCTTATTTCATTTCTTTCTGGAGTACCTTGAGCCCCTTCCCTAAAATTATATTGATCCCGTGAATGAGAGGAAAAATTGACCATAACATGCTAATGGTAGAATTACAAAAGGGTGAGGGAAGTGCTGATTATATACTGACAAATACAATAGCGGGATCCCTTTTTTAAGTGGACATACATATATTTGTATATATAATATATATAAGCATAATATATGTTTCACATTGTTATGTCCCATGGGCCAGGTTGTTTGGAGTGCCATGGGTTTGGTTGGCCTCAAAATTGCTATTTCTTTTGGGTGGACAATTATTTCTGTATCTTTTCTTAATAAAAGTTTGTGATGCTTAGCTTCTTTGTATTTATTCTATTAATGTTTTTTTTTTATCATTTGTTAGGTTTTTGCTGGACTTGGATATTGCGGCTCCAAAGATTACAATTCCTACTGATTTTTGTCCCGACAACACACATCCAACAAAACTCATGCTTGACTTGGGAAATTTGGTTATTGGAACCAAGGTTAACAACAATATTAATTCTTAATTATCTAATTTTGAGTTTGTTTCCTACAGACATTTATGTTGAGCTTCAAAGTGCATGCAGGATGACTATGGAGGTGGATCCCCGGAGGAGCTGGATCTGTATCTGCAGTTTAATTTGGTTTTAAGAGATGTATCTGCTTTTCTGGTTGATGGTGACTACTGTTGGAGCCAATCTCCTTCAAACAATTCTGCTGGTTGTGCCAAATTAAATGGTGTTAGTTTGTTTCCTTTATTCGATAAATGTGGGGTAACGGTAAAGCTTCAACAGGTAAAATACTGTGACCTGTTTAGCTTAAATACGAAGCTTATTTTCACATGGCATTTGCGACGATTAAGGTTTTGGATGTTATTTTGTTATTACATCCAGATTAGATTAGAGAGCCCATCCTATCCTTCAACAAGAGTCGCTGTACGGCTACCATCATTAGGGTTTCACTTCTCTCCAGCTCGGTACCATCGATTGATGCAAATTGCTAAGATTTTTGAAGAGGATAATGAGGACTTGGATCTCCTTTGCGCTTGGAATGAGCCTGACTTCGAGGGGTGGTTGTCTATTCTTGCTTGGAAGGTTGCAATCTATCCCTCTCTCCCCACCCTCTTGTCTCCCATTTGCCCCTAAACAAAAGAACACATCCCAAAAGTAGTTCATGTCTTTATAATAGTGCTATGTTTGAGCATCTACTCATTCCTATAAACAGAATTTATTCATTTCTTTATTTTAATGCGATGATAGGGTCTCGGGAATAGGGAAGCGGTGTGGCAGCGGCGCTACCTATGCTTAGTTGGGCCTTACCTATATGTACTTGAGAACCCTAGCTCTAAATCGTACAAACAGTGTATCAGGTTCGGATGCCAACTTTTCCAAATTGAGTTGTGATGGACATGATAGTATCTACTTAATATGTAGATATATATCCAAAAAGTATGATTCAGAAAAAAAAACAAAGATGGAGATATTTGCCATTGTTGCAAAAGTTTTAATTGAAATCTTGTGGAATGATTTATTTGTCTATTTGTTAAAAAAATGGATATATTCTTTGGTTTTTCTTCCATTCCTCGAGTTGAATTGATTAAGTAGCCTTTTATACAGACTACTTGTTACGCAAGTACCACTGACTTGGTTCATTTCACTAAACCACATCCACACCTTTGTATATTCCAATAAGTCCATCTGTTTCTAGATATGAATTCACTGCTGTTTATAATGTTCTAGAAAATTCTAAAATAGTTTCTCAACATTTCATAACTGCTAAAAATTATATATGCAACACTTCATATAACATAATAAGTATATATTAAGTGGAATGTTGTATACTAGAATTTGTATTGACTCTAATGCTTGCAATATGCTTATGGCAGCTTAAGTGGAAAACACATATATCAAGTTCCCCCAGAGTCTGTTGGTGGTGCTGATCTTGTGTTGGTTGTCTGTGATGCTGCACGAGCAAATAGCAAGGTTGTAACTCCATCTTTATAGTTAGAAAGAACACTTATTTGTATAGCCCCCTGTATAATGGTTTGTTGAGTATTACTTAGTTTTAGTTATTTCTTTTATATAGATTGTGGAGGATGCAAATGCACTAATAGTGCAATGTGATTCTGATGATTCAAAGAAAATTTGGCAAAGCCGGTTGAAGGGGGCTGTCTATCGTGCATCGGTAATCCTTGTTTAGTTTGTGGTAGACATATCCAGGCTTTGATATGACAGCACTTTTAACTGTTAAGGACATGCATAGGCCTCTTAAGTAGTTTTATATGCAGGGTTCTGCTCCTGTAACTAGTCTATCTGAAACTTCATCTGAGTCCGAGGATTCTATAGTGGAGCTTAATGACAAAGATGATGTGGTTGATTTGTTGAAAATGGAGAGAACATTTATTACTGGTGTTCTTGATGAACTAAAGGTCTGCTTCAGTTATAGTTACCAGGTAAGCCTAAACTATATACTTGATAAAAAGTTGCCTTGTAAGGGAAGATCTGACACAGCTGTTTTTCTCTAATCTCTAGCCCGACCAGAATTTTATGAAAGTGCTCCTAACTGAAGAAAGGCGTTTATTTGAATTTCGAGCAATAGGTGGCCAGGTGATACATTAATCGAAATAGGCATTGGTGTGTTTTGATGTTTTTAAATGTTTTTGTTTTTCCGATTCCAGAGAGTTATGTTTTTGGACACAGGTTGAGGTATCGGTTAGATCAAGTGACATGTTCGTTGGAACTGTTTTAAAATCTTTGGAGATTGAAGACTTAGTTTCTGGCAATAGCATGTCTCAGCCTTGCTATCTGGCAAGATCGTTCATCCGTAATGCAGAAACACGTTTAACCTTTGGTGCCACAGAGAATCAGAGTTTTGATGGCAGTGAACTAACCCCGACTGAAGGAGATGAATTCTACGAGGCACCAGAAAATTTGGTTGACCCTGAAAGCTTATTGTTGAAATCCCCTCGTTTTACTCGTATTCCTGGTCTACTCCCGGGTAATGGACTTGAAGAAAGTGAGGAGAACATTGAACTCAATGGTTCATTGGATAGTTTTGTGAAAGCTCAAATAGTTAGATATGACCAAAGCTCTCCTCTATACCATAATATAGACATGCAGGTGAGTATTATTTTGTGTTAAATTTGGGGCTTGATCCATTATGTTGTTGCTTGATTTGTTATTCTTTAAATGGTTGTTTTAGGTCTCTGTCACCCTGACTACCCTATCATTTTTCTGTCGGCGACCAACAATTCTTGCTGTCATGGAATTTGTTAATTCTATTAACATTAAGGATGAAAGCTGTGAATCTTTCAGTGACAGTTCTTCAGCAGCTATTGTGAAACCGGAACTCTCCAGAGATGATGCAGTTGGTAGTCCACGATCAGTGACAATCAATGAGCCTTCAATTAAAGGATTGCTGGGAAAGGGAAAGTCCAGAGTGGTTTTTAATATAACATTAAATATGGCTCGTGCTCAGATTATATTAATGAATGAAGATGAAACCAAACTTGCTACTTTGTCACAAGATAATTTGGTTACCGATATTAAGGTTTTCTCAACTTTGTCCATCCTCGTTCATCCTCTGGAATTTCTGTTTTTATTAAACTCACCTGTTTCAAGTCTATAAACCATATTGTTTTTCAGGTGTTCCCATCCTCTTTTAGCATTAAGGCAGCCCTTGGAAATCTTAAAATAAGTGATGAGAGTCTTCCTAGTAGCCATTTGTACTTCTGGGCATGTGATATGAGAAATCCAGGTGGCAGTTCATTTGTTGAGGTAACACTGTGTTCCTACCAATAAGAATAACGTATGATCTTTAACAAAAAGACTGATCACACAAGAACAACTAATTAAGATTCTGTCTTGAGCTTGTGTTCCTAAAGTTCTGATGATGATGGAAATTTAAGTTTGTTCATGATTTTTTCTTTCTTTTTATCACTCCAGAGGCTGTGTTTTTTGTTCAAGATTTTAAGACATGTTCCTCAGTAACTTGTGTGCTTTCTTTGATGGATGGTTATTGAATAGTTCAAGGGACCAAATAATGTTTAATTCTCTATGTATGCCAAGGGACATAGTGAGGTTTTGGGAGGAATTTGATGGGTTGTCTGGGTTGTGTGGCTCGATGGTGCATGCGTGGGGATTTTCATATGGTGAGATTTGTCATAGAGAAATGTAATGCAGGAAGGGTGACAAGGAGCATGTGTTATGATCTCTTAAGGGAAACAAACTTGTGTAATTCCGAGTTACACAATGCAGTCTTCACTTTTCACTAGGTAAAATATGAGAGAAAATGTGATTCCAAAAGACTTGACAGATTTTTGCGTACTGCAGAGTGGGAAGAGGAATTTCCTAATGTGAGAGAGATGGCCCGTAGTGGGGTTGTTTCAGATCGTTGTCCTATATTATTTGATTCTAATAAGTTGAAGTGGGGGCCAGGTCTTTTTAGATTTGAGAACATGTGGTTGGAACTGCTTCAAGAAGTGTTGGGAAAGTAGGGAGTTTAAATGGTTACTAGGGTTAAGTTTTAGGTGATGTAAGAAAGGAAAAGAAGGAAGTGCAGGAAAAATAATTAAAGAGCTCCATTTGTTGGAGTAAGGGGACAGATTGCTGGAAGAGTGCCGAAGGGAGAGGGCAAACTAACACTAAAATTGTGGGAGCTTGTTTTCAAGGAGATTTGAGGAGGCGAAAAAGTGGCTTGGGCAAAAGAGGGTGATGGCAGTACAAACATGTTGATAAAAGGGTAAATGGGAGGAAAAAAAAAAAATTTGATCAAAAGCTTGGAATTGAGTGATGGGCCTGATGACAAGGGGAGGATTGAGAAAGAAGTAATTAATTTTTGTAAGAGATTTCTGTAGGAAGGAAGGTGGGGAAAAGGAAAGGGCGATGGTGGTAGGAAATGTTAACAACTTTATTTGACTCCTTCGTATTCCACACTGTTGCATCATGTAGGCAAACTAACATTTATATTACTGTTTATGGCTTTGATAGATAAATTTTGGAGAGACATTTAGTCAATAAATTTAGAGTAAATGTATAAAGAGACTATAGTGTTCCACATTATTGCGACAGTTAATCTACTTTCTTCTGTTCTGCAGTTGTTTTTTTCCTTTTTCTTTCTACCGTTTTACTATTTTCCTATTTCATTTGCTTTATTGATATTAGGGATAGTTTTACAAATAACAGTCATTATGATGCAGTTGGTTTTTACTTCATTCAGCATTGATGATGAAGACTACGAAGGCTATGAGTATAGCCTTTATGGGCAGCTTTCAGAAGTACGCATTGTTTATTTGAATCGATTTATCCAGGAGGTAATATACATTTAATTCTTTTGTTCATTATGCACTCTGGTTCGTTTCCACTTCTCTTATGTCTGTAAAATCATTTGTAGGTGGCTAGTTACTTTGTGGGTCTTGTTCCCAACAATTCAAAAGGTGTCGTCAAGGTAAAAGATCAAGTAACAAATTCAGAAAAGATGTTTACAACTAGTGACTTCGAAGGATCACCTGCCCTAAAGTTGGATGTCTCTCTTAGGAAGCCTATTATTTTGATGCCTCGGCGAACTGACAGTCTTGAGTAAGTTTGTACTGGAATCCAGGCTCTAATGGATCTTAGTTTTAGACTATTGGCATCTTTGTCTGTGGTCGCACTCGTATAATTCATCTCTCAATTTGATAAACCTAATATGCATTGTCTAATTATTTGAATTTTTCTATTTCAGCTACTTGAAGCTTGATATTGTTCATATTACTGTCCGGAACACTTTTAAATGGTTTGGTGGAAGTAGAAGTGAAATTAATGCTGTTCATATGGAAGTATTAACAGTTCAGGTGATTGAATACATTTGAAATTTTTTTTCTTTTACCAACAAAAACCCATGCTGAAATTTTTATTTAGTTGGAATAGGATACGGTGGTTCCAATACAAATGGATTTTGAAAGGTTTTGTCATGTGGAGTGCTTGGCAGCGGAATTAATATTTATTTTTTGGTTTGGTTTGCATCTATTAATTTGTAATTAACTGTCTCTGCATGTCGATTAATATTATGATGGGGGCTGTAGGTTGAGGACATCAATCTAAATGTTGGCACTAAAGGTGAGTTAGGTGAAAGCATAATTCAAGATGTGAATGGAGTTTCGGTTGTGATTCAAAGGTCACTTCGAGACTTGTTGCATCAAATACCCAGTATTGAGGTTATAATCAAGGTAATGGATTACATGTTCATTGACAGTTTTGTGTAGCTAACTTCATTTTTAATTTTAATTTTGGGATAACTGCAAACATAAGTGAAGTCACATTTTAAATGTTTTTAGAATTCGTGCTTTTCAGATGGAGAAATTGAAAGCAGCTTTGTCAAACAGGGAATATCAGATTATCACGGATTGTGCACAGTCTAATATTTCTGAAACTCCACATATTGTACCCCCATTGAACCATTATTCTATGACATCTTCAGTTGATGTTGAAGAAGACATCACTCCTCAGGAACCAGATGGTATTGAATCCCAAAGTGCAAGTGGGGGAGCCTGGGTTACGATGAAAGTCTCTGTTGTTATCGATTTGGTTGAATTGTGCTTACATGCTGGTGTAGCAAGAGATGCATCCCTGGCCACTGTGCAGGTAGTTTCTCAATTTGGTGGATTTCTTAACCGTTGGGAATTTATTACAGTATTTGCATACTTTCTCTTTAAAAGATTGAACTCATTGAGGTGGCATTGGTTTTATGCATCACAAGAGTTTTTCTTGCTTTACTAAATTTGTATTTTATTTTGCTATACTTTCTCTCTTCTGAACCCCGTGTTTTTGCTTTTTATTTATTTATTTATTTAATAAATAAATAATTTGTTTGCCTTTTTCGTTTGGGAATGCTATGTATTTTGGTCCTATATGTCACGTAAATATCATTTCATGGTCCCAAAATCATTTTCAAATCCTTGCATCAATTTTTATGTATTCTCCGTTCAAATTGTCTGGTATTGTGTCTAATTTATGATTTACACCGTACTTGAACATCATTGCAAAACTGGATTTCATTTTCTTTTCGTAAAAGTGATAATTTTATTAATAAAGAAGAAAAGTACAGTCAAATTGGACCAGCGGTCTAGAAGAGATACTACCGTCAGTCAACAAAAAAGGGAGACAAAAACATGTGTAAATAATCAACTGTTGACAGGGTTAAACTCTGTTGATTTCTGCATAATGCATTAGAAATAATTGTATTATTTTAAGAAGATATATTGCTGTTTTGTTAAAATTTGTATCAGGTGTGTTTATGTGTGTAGGATGTGTTAGAACATTTACTACGGTGGATGCTTACGTTTTGAGAAAAGAATACATATTATTATATACATATATAATATATTGGTTCTTGGTTTATTATGTTACCACTCTGTTGTACAGATTAGCGGTGCATGGTTGCTGTACAAGTCAAATATACTAGGAGAAGGCTTCCTCTCAGCAACACTAAAGGGTTTCACTGTGTTTGATGATCGTGAGGGTACTGAACCAGAGTTTAGGTTGGCAATAGGAAAGCCTGAGTATGTTGGTTCATATCCTCCAGATTTTGTTGCTCATGATGACCATCACATCTCCGGTGCAAATTTTACAAAAGAGAATGATGTCAAATTAATTCCTACAATGCTCATTCTTGATGCAAAATTTTGTCAGCTGTCAACCGTTGTTTCTTTGTGCATCCAAAGGCCACAACTGCTTGTTGCACTCGATTTCCTGCTGGGTGTTGCTGAGTTTTTCGTTCCTACCATCGGCAATGTGCAGTCAAATGAAGAACTGCAGAATTCTGTCCTTGGAATTGATGCAGTAATTTTGGACCAGTCAACTTACAAGCAACCCTCTACTGAATTCTCTCTTTCTCCTCTAAGACCTTTAATAGTTGATGATGAAGGGCATGATCATTTTGTTTATGATGGCAATGCTGGGACACTGTATTTGAAAGACAGGCAGGGATTTAATCTCTCAGGGCCTAGTACAGAGGCCATAATATATGTAGGAGATGGGAAAAGATTGCAATTCAAAAATGTTGTTATCATGGTATTATTCTTTACGATGTCTTTTTTTTTCTAGATTACTGGCATACTTGTACTTCAAAAGCACTTCTATCATATTTAAACTTCTAATGTAAGTTGTGTTGGTGTAGAATGGACTGTACTTAGATTCATGCATTTCTATGGGAACCAACAGTAGCTATTCAGCTCTGAAGGAAGATCAGGTCTACTTCGTGGGAGGGAATAAAGTTCCTAATTTGAATTCCCCAACAGAAAATGTCAATAATGTGCCATCTCAAAGCATTGCCGTCGACAGGTCGACAGAGTTCATTATTGAGTTGCAGGTTCAATATTGCTTCATTTGATTTCTTTTTCCTAATTTGGGGTCATACTCATTCTTTGGATCTGCAACTGTCTTTTGTAACTAAATATTTCATTTCAGTTGGTTGGCCCAGAGCTGACATTCTATAATACGTCTGAAGATGTTGGGGAATCCCTTGTGCTCTCCAACCAACTTTTACATGCACAGTTGGATGGATTCTGCAGGTAAATTATTTTATTGTTATGTTGATTATAATGTTTAGACTCATAGTATGATTTGTCCACAAAGTCTATGGATGTTATGTTATTTCTGAACTCTACACTTGTTCCCGTAGTTAGAAATATTGTTGGAAATAATTAGAATAGGATCTTTCATTTCTCAAAGGGTCTCCAAGGACTCCCTTTTTCTTTTCCTTTTGGATTTTGTCTCTTATTTAGGGGTTCTTCCATTGCATTTTGGATTTGACTAAATGGCACGCAATATTGAGTTCAAGTCCTTATTAAACCCAAAATGACTAGGACACATTCATACTCCCTCTGTTTCAATGTCCGTGGTATTTGTCATACCCAAAAGTCTTAATTTGGTTTCTTGATTCCTACCAATATCTGCGATATATCTATATTTCCATTGAAATTTCCCATTATTATTATTTTTATTTTGTGGATTCTCACCAGACATAAATGGATTTGATATGGCTTTAGTTGAGAGCAATCTCGCTGGATAATGCTCTTTGGTTCCTTATACATTGCTTCCATAGGTTTCTAGGAGTTCAAGTGAAAGAAAAATCATATTTATTGCCTAGGCCATGTTCGCTTTAGATTCCATGTTATGAATGCTTGAACTTAAAGAAATGTAATGGAAAAGTGACATTCTATGTGCTCTTGTTGTCTCTAGGCTTGTTTTGAAGGGTGATACCATTGAGATGAATGCAAATGTTCTTGGTTTAACAATGGAGAGTAATGGATTCACGATTCTGGAGCCCTTTGACACCTCTGTAAAATATTCCAATGCTTCTGGAAAGACCAATATTCATCTAAGTGTTTCAGATGTATTTATGAATTTCTCATTCAGCATCCTGAGACTGTTTTTAGCAGTTGAAGATGATATCTTGGCATTTTTAAGGACAACATCAAAGAAAATGACAGTGGTCTGCTCACAGTTTGACAAAATCGGAACAATAAAAGGTAGGCTGAAATTTTTTTTCTTTTCTGTATTGTTGCTAGAATGTTTTAACATGCCTTTAGTTATGTTTTAACATGCCTATAGTTACATGCTGATGCATGTTCCCTGCTTCCTTGAACTTTCAGATCCCCACAATGACCAAACATATGCCTTCTGGAGGCCTCATGCACCTCCTGGTTTTGCTGTTCTTGGGGATTGTCTGACACCATTGTTAGTGGCCATTCCTTAATTGCACCTCGTGGTTCTCTTAATATTGATGGTTTTAATGTCATATCTTAGTTGTACCTCATGGTTCTCTTTAAATATTCACTTTTACTAAAAAAATATGAAGGCTTTCATTTCTTAAAATTTTGAACACTGATAATATAAATTTCTTATGACAGGGACAAGCCACCTACAAAAGCAGTTCTTGCTATAAATACCAATTTTTCTAGAGTCAAGAAACCCATATCTTTTAAACTGATTTGGCCACCTTTACCTTCCGAGGGCTCATCTGTTCATGGTGTAAATGATTCCGATTCTTTACCAAATGACGTCCTTTCTGACGGAGATTGTTGTTCCATTTGGTTTCCTGAAGCACCTAATGGATATGTTGCGTTGGGCTGTGTGGTTTCCCCAGGAAGAACACAACCACCACTGTCAGCTGCTTTTTGTATCTTGGCTTCTTTGGTTTCTTCTTGTTCCTTAATGGATTGCGTTGCAATTAGCACCACAAATCTGTATGTCATACTTTCAGACTATGTTACTTTTAATAAGTTCAGATTACACCAGGGGTGCCAATGGTTCATACCAACACCGTTCCAAATTAGGCAGGACTTAATACAGTTTCGAATCATATTATAGTATATTTGAATTGCAGTTTTTTCCTTAAAAAAATAATCGTCAAGTCAGAGATAATATTGTGCAAGTTATCAGTACTTTCCAGAACGTAATGGAAACATAGAATATATATTTGCTTTCTTCTTGGCTCCAAGCTTCAACATATTGTAAGCACTCTTTCAGATTTGGGGGTATCCATATATTCTTCCATATAATTGGACTTGTACATATATCCTGGTAGATCCAACTAGAATGACCCATTGATAGCCTTATGTTAGGGCATCTTCTTTTCTGGTTCTTGGGAAACTATAACGCGAGGAATAGTTTTATGATTAAATAATTCCTATCCTGTCTGTCTGAACGCTATTGTTTTGATAAGAAATGGTTAGAACTTTTGATTTGTCATTCCATTTTAAATTGCAGATATCAGTCAAGTGTAGCATTCTGGCGTGTGGATAACTCTGTTGGCACCTTTTTGCCAGCAGATCCTAGTACTTCTACTGTAATGGGTGCAGCATATGATTTGCGTCACATGATATTTGGATTGCCAGAAGCGTCTGTAAAGTCATCTGATCGTTTGGATGTGCAAGCTGCTGCTGCTCAGAGTCACAACCTCCAATCAGAAGTATCAGCATCTGTAAATTCTGCTCAGCGTTATGAAGCTGTTGCTAGTTTCCGATTGATATGGTGGAATCAGAGCTCTAACTCAAGGAAGAAACTGTCCATATGGCGTCCAGTTGTCCCTCATGGGATGGTATATTTTGGTGATATTGCAATCAAAGGGTATATGATAATGGATATCTTATTCTTATTACATTCCGTGTTCGTTTACTTTTGTTGTATCTAAGTAACATAAGTTTTGATGGTTACTAAACTTAGGTATGAGCCTCCAAATAACTGCATTGTTCTTCATGATACTGGAGACGAAGGGATCTTCAAAGCCCCTCTTGATTTCCAACTTGTTGGGCAAATTAAGAAACAGAGGGGAATGGAGAGCATATCTTTCTGGCTTCCTCAAGCTCCGCCAGGTTTTGTTGCTCTTGGTTGCATAGCATGTAAGGGAACACCAAAACAGAGTGATTTCAGCTCATTAAGATGTATGCGCAGTGATATGGTAGCTGGGGATCAATTTTTTGAGGAAAGTGTATGGGATACATCTGATGGCAAGCTTACAAGAGATTCATTTAGTATATGGGCAGTTAGCAATGAGTTGGGGACCTTTATAGTTCGTGGTGGATTCAAGAAACCTCCAAGAAGGTTTGCTTTAAAGTTGGCTGACTCACATGTACCAAGTGGCTCAGATGATACTGTAATTGATGCAGAATTTAGAACTTTTTCTGCAGCACTTTTTGATGACTACGGTGGCTTGGTGAGAATTCATACTCTATATAGTTTCATATAGAATTTAAATTAACTGTTACATGCTGAAATTTCTCCTGGTTAAAAGTAGTGTGTGATGAATAATGAAGTATGCGAAGGAATTTTTGTTTCCTGTAAAAGTATTAAAAAAGAAAAACATTATGTTTTTTTAGTTGGTGGAATCAGTAATTCTGACTCCTGAAAGTTTGGAAAACCAATGAGGTTTCTCTCATACATTTAATGGGAAAGCACTTACTCTTACATAGTCGACTTCCTGGTAGAAAGCTTTTCTGAGGGTGGGGCTTGACCAGTTGAATGGTAGTAATTTTGCGTTTGATATAATTTGTTTAACGAGAAAGGACAGGGCCTTGGAGAAGAGATGAAAGAGAACAAGGGTATTTTGACATAATATTTCTATGGATTTATTCTCCTAGTTTTTTTGGGTTTGCCTTTTTTGTTAGCTTCATACTCTTCAATGGATTGCTTTGGTGTTCTTTTATGCCCCAATTTTTATTTGAATTTTTGTTCATCCTTCATATTCAGCTTCATGTTCTTTGAACTTTTGTATGCATTTACTTATTCTTTTGTTGGTTTAGATCTCGTATTCTTTGTTCTTCTGATGAAACCTTTTATACTTTGTATTCATGTTCCGAATTGTACATAATTAAACTTTTTATCTTCTTTTCTTAAAGAAAATAATAAGTTTATGTTTTTAGTTCATGGTTATTGTTATTGAAAGCTGAAAAACCTACTGTTACATTAATTTGCTACTAATTGAAGGCATTTTTCTAATTTTTCTTTTTTGAATAGAAACATAATTTTATTAAAGTAGGAAAGCTAATTACAAAGAGTGGGAGGAAATTTTTCTTATGATTTTGTTTTATGGAATATGGCAGATGGTTCCATTGTTTAATGTCTCTTTAAGTGGAATTGGGTTCAGTTTGCATGGAAGAACAGAATACTTAAATTCTACTGTGAGCTTCTCTTTGGCTGCTAGATCATATAACGATAAGTATGAAATTTGGGAGCCTCTTGTTGAGCCAATGGATGGATTCTTAAGGTAATTTACTGAACCACGTCAAATTTTAACACAATATTGGGAACATATGTGATGCATTTAATATTTTGATCAGTACTGAATCGATTGTTTAATTCCATTCCCTGCTTTACTTGCTAGTACTGTTTAAATGTGCTGTAAATTCACAGTTTTAGTAGTAGTATGAACTCCCCCTACCTACCCATTTCTTTTAATTTAGAACAATTTGAATTTCTGGTGTTTCTATTATATTATATTTCAATTGGCCCCAATCTTGGAATTTGAACGATGACTATGCTTTGTTGGTTATGGGTCTCAAGACTATGGTAAGATTCTGAAAAGGAAGATGGCTTGAGGAACATCCGTTGAACAGTTTGTATCTGGTATAGTCTTTTTATATAGGGTAAATTACTCAAATGGTCCTCAAATTTGTACCCGATTTACATTTTGGTCCCTAAACTAAATTATTCGTTCAAATGGTCCACCTACTCTTTATTAATCGATGCTTTGGTCCTACCATTACATTTTCTATTAAATTATATGATTAAAAATTTTGACAACTAAAAAAATCAAAATATATGATTAAAAATTAAATAATACAAAATTTTCTTTATTTATAAAATTAATTAAAAACTATAAAGGAATAAAAAACAACAAAAATAAAAACAAAAAGTCTCTCTCTCTCTCTCTCTCCTCTTTCTCCCTCCCTCCTCCCTTCCCTTTTTTCTTTTTT